CGCGGGCTGAGCGGGCGAACAGGCAAGTGTGTGTGTATATATGGGAGAGAGAGAGAGAGAGTGAGCTGATATAACCCTGGAATGGCACAACTGGCAGCCAGGCAGGCCTTAAGTTAGCGGATCGATAAGAGCATTGGTGTATACAATGGAGCGCGCGGCGGCAGAGAGAAAACGCGGCGGGCAAAAATTCGCCGAACGACTCGACCCACCGACCGACGCACGCCGCTCATTGCCACATTAAAAATTAACGTTGGTCTAAAAAACAAAAATGCACGCACCTCTTTCTCGCTAACGGCAATTGTATTACCAACATAGCGTGGACTGCGATTCGGAAAAAAAATATTTCATTATTTTGCGAAACTGGCGATTACTTTTATTTTCAATGAATATTTAGATGGTTTCAGGTGGAACATTAATTATGTAATATTTTGGGACTGACATATGAGACCATTTTATATATTTCTGCAAAATAAATTAATTAGTCAGTTTCAAGTGGCTTTTGGAAATTTAAATGGTTTTCAAACTTCAATCCAATTGTAATACCAACAAACCTTTTTTATGCATGAGAATTTCCTAGTGCACTCCAATTCAAGTTAAATGTTTTTTAATAATTTGTTGCAGATAATTTTGTACAGAATAATCCTGTTTATAATATGTTGTAAATAAATGAAGGAGCTAAATTACAATCAAAATGTATTTTGACTGTTGAGTTAATTTAAACTTATAAATTGTCATTGCATAGCCAATTTTAGGCACTTAAATTTTTCTTCAAATCTCGTCTCTTTTTTTATTTTAGGGAATCCTAGTTTGCGGTCTTATTTTTTTAATATTATTTTTATCAAAATGAACCTCATATTTAAATTTGTCTTTGGGTAACTTTTTGAAAGGCGAATTTTTATATTTTGCCCGTCTATGGTGATTTTTAGAGATAATAATGATTTTAATTATATAAATAAAGATTACAGTGATTTAATTTGGAGAAAATGTATTTTTTTTCATTTAAAAAGTTTGTTGTCATGAAAAATTGTAAATTCAAGATTTGTTATTTTTAGGCAAACAATAATATTTTCAGTAATTTACCACTTTTCGCAACCCTAGCAGGGTCTGCCGAGAGTGCGGCGCACCTACCCAGCACCTTGGCGCCGCGAAGTCTCTCGGCTCGGCACCGCCGTGAAATATGGCTCTCTTTTACGATTAAATAAGAGGTAATAGAAAAGCTGAAAGCTGGTTTGATTTATGCCCGTTCCGGAGAGGTCTTAGCTCGAACTCCATTCCATCGCGATAAATCACGCGGCCGCTTTTGGCAGCGCGAATTAGATGAAACACACCGGCGCTCTTGAATTGCGTTAAATGCGCGCCGCGCGGTAACAAAATCATTATTAATAGCGGCGCTCGATGGGCCTCGAGTGGCGCGCCGGGCCAAGAATGGCCACTTGTCAATTCCTGGAGGGCCAATCTGCAGTTCAACCCGCGCGCGCCGACTTTTTGCCTTTTTTATGTACCAAAGGAGCAGGAAAAAAAGCAAAGGCCAACTGCAGCTTTCGGTTCTCGGCTTTGATTTAATAACATTTATCTCTCACTGTCGAGAGAGAGGGTCTGACAAGGAACGTTGCTGAAGCGTGACACGCCGATTTTGATGAAACTCTGGATGTGTTACTTCTTCGGCTGCTACCCAAGGGTCTTCCCCGAACGGTCAAAACTTGTACCCTCTAGCGCGAGGTTAATCCTGGCATACATTAACGCAAAATGGAAATTAAGTGAAAATACCGTCCGCATATGAAAATTTTACTGGTTCGCCTGCATAAAATTTAAAAAGTACACAATTTAGGCGTTAAAATCAGTCATTATTATAATCTTTATAGCTTTTTTGTTATAAATCTTTATTCTTTATTTACTAAATAACAAAAAACCGCATAATTTTAAATGAAGGCAGTCTTTAATGTGTGTCTTTTTTTTATTAAATTAAGAAATCAATAAAATAGTGTGAAATATATCTAATGTTTGTGAAATTTCCGTTTCCGAGTTAAATGAGTAAAATTTAAAAAAACCTAGAATAATGCTACAATGATTTCTAATTAAAATTATTTAAAAAATTCATATATATCCAGGGATTAAATTTGAGCTTTATATATTTTCAAATGAAAGAAAAAAGAAGTAAGGAAAACTTTTTTTATTCTACACAAAAGTTTGATCAATAAAGAGCTTAATTATTATTTTCCAGAGGTGAAATATTTGACTCAAGTTTTATAAGAAAGCGGATTCAAAAACGTTCTTGGCGCAATGTTTGTCAGTCAGAATAGAGGCCGGAGTGCACGTTCCAAGATAAGAGAGATATTGTCAGATGTGCCGAGGGCGCATCGGGGCCTTTTATTCGCGCGCATTATAATCTAATGCTGTGCATTGTGTCAACCTTTTTGCCCTAGCGAGGCTTAGCCGCGGCAGAGCCAGCGAGGGAGGGCGCGCGGCCGGGCGGATTAACCGCGACTTGCACGGATTGCGGGATGAAAAATGCGCGTAATTCGCGAGAATGTGCGCCGACGCTTGCAAATCCCCCATCCTCAATGTCGGTGCAAAAATTGAAATAAATCGCCGAGCGCTGCACGGTTGGCAACCCTAGCTTTTATATACACATTCTGCTAAATTGAGGTGAAAATCCGCACCGAGCCAGAGCAGGGCCGCGCGTGGGAAAGACGCCGTTTCAATTCCATATCAATTTGGCCGGGCCCGACTTCTTGCCCTTCATCGCCGAATCAACTGTCCGGAAATTTTCCCATTTCAATTAGCGTCGAGCCCGGCTAAAAAGTGAGAGCTTTGCCGGCAAAAGAAAGCAGAAAGAAAAGAGGCGGAGGCAGAGAGTCGACTAATTGCGCTAGTGCGAGAGTTTTACTTCCTCTCTTGTGCTTAATAAATGCGACGACTCAGCGGTTTTTTGCTCATCGCTCCTCCCCGCAGCGTTAAAATTCAGTTATTGTCTTTTAATGATGGCAAAAACAAAAACCGAGCCGGCAGTCTTAATTAATTTGCAATTACTAGCCAGAGTGCTAATTATGCTCGGAGAAGAGCTCCGGGAAGAGCTCGGGGAGGGGTGAGAGAAGAAAAAAGAAGCAAAGTACGCAACACGGCACACTGAAATGTGATACTTATAACAATGCAACTCGTGAAACTACAAAAAATGTGTGAATGGGTAAATGAAATACCGCATTTTTACAATCTGTATATAAAAGGAGACACATTCATGAAGTGGAAAACAGGCTTTGCGCCGTTTTGTTTATGGATAATTATAAAAATATTTTACCAACGACAAAATGCCAATTTTTTTTGCTCATTTCAAACTGTATAAAATGGTGAAAATATGACATAATGGTTTACAGAATAACTTATTTTTCCGTTAAATCTGAATTTTCAGTTTTAGCCGCAACACAATATTTATGCAGATACAAACAAATATTTTGTTTTGAATAACAAAAATTATAAATGGGCGAGTCTATTATAGCACTAAAAATAAAAATAAATAACAGCACAAATTTATGGGATTCCGGCAATTTTTGGTGCATTTGAATATGACGGAGCAAAGAAATAATTGAAATTAAATTTCATTATTCCATATAAACGCACATTAAACTTGAGTTTGCTGGGTGAAGACGGTCAATACGTTGCCTCGTTAGCAGATTGCATAGCTTTCTTTTTTTTCTTTTGGTGCAGAAGGCGCAGAGCCGTTTAATAATACGGGAACAATTGAGTTAAAGCGGCGCCCGCGCGGCTATTACTGCTGTGAATCTCTTTTTTAATATCGCAGCACACGAGTGGAGTGCTGGAAACTGGAGAGAGCAGCGAACAAAAAGAAACACAGTACCCATGCACACACACACACAGCAATAATATTTCATTTCGGGGGAAACGCGGTGCTGCTGCTGGCGGTGGCGGCGCGGTGGCTGCGGCGCCGTTATCTCCAACGTGTTGCTGCTGACGCCGCCACGACCGAATTGTAATCTCGTTTGCGAGCTCGTGTATCAGAAGTCATTCGTCATGTTTTACCTCACCGGCGCAGAATATTATTCAGCGGCCGACATCCTACTCCACTCTCAGGAGGTGCTGCCGGAATCGAGTCGGAAGATTGGGGACCCCACTGTGTCCGGAGCACTCCCGTTTATGGCATGCGCTAAAAGCATTGGTACCAGAGTGGCCAAAAGAGAACTTGATGGAACGTTTAAAATACTTGCAATCTCAATAAATAACAGTTTTAAATTTCAAAAGATTATTCAAATCATTTGGCTGGTTGGTGTCTGTTGGCGTGATAGGAAATCTTTGACGCACAGTTAAGTTTTGCCACTTTTTGCTTGAGAGATTAAAAATCCTACCAGCTTTGTCATAACGAAGCCAGTCATGTTTTGATTATTATAATTAAAAAAGAAGTGTCAGATGACTTTTTCAGTTAAATGAATTTATTTTCAGTTCATTAAAAAAAAAATTATTTTCCAAAAGATTAAATGAGTTTGTCCGCCGATTGCGAATGACTTGAAAATAGTCACACTTAATTGTTTTCAGAATTATTTTATCAAATTTTTATTTTTATTTCTTATGCTGTATGCTATAAAATTTCCAGCAAAAAAAAAACAGCATTAAGTTTTTGAAATATCAACAGAAGCTCAAGTTCTGAAAAAAATGTATCAATTTTTTTAACCACATCTTTTTCACCGGCAAATACTAGAATTTTAAAGAGGAATAAATAAAATTTGCAAGTTTGAAAAGAAACAAAAAGAAAAGAAACACTTGCAAAGTCAGTGCATTTGAACGCGATTTTAAATTCAACTCTATGAAAAAATATTCCGATACTTGACTTGTTCAACTTTGAAATTACCTCGTTTCGATTTTGGCACGTTGCCAGCCATGATGGAATGTGTATATTCGGAGCATTCCTTTCTCGCAATTCAATAAATAGAGGGTGCGGGTTAATTCGAGGTGACGCGGCGCAGCGGATGGAGGTATTATTGGTTGCTTACCTTGAGCTTGCGCCAGGCCGCCGTACGCGAGCAGGGTGGCCGCTGCAGTCATCAAAACGAGCCGCGCCAGCGTCGTCATCGCTCGGCGCGCAGATTATTGAAATTCACTCGATGTCACCTATTGTCCTGGCTGTGCAGAGCGAGCTCTCGTTGGCAGCGCACCGACGAAAACCTGCTTTTCTGCTCGGGCGTGTGTGTGTGTGTGTGTCGCGTGTGTTTGAAGTTACTAATTCATGGATCAATGCTCGCACACGACTTTTCACTCACTCATAATGGTACTGTCGAGTCGCTGCGGTGGCGGGCGGGCGGGCGCTCTCTTGTGTGTGCCAAGCTGTTATGGCGCAGACACTTAAGAAGCTTTACGATGTACTTGTTGCCTGCAACAAAAAACAACAAAAGTCAGGTTAAATTATTATTATTCGGGGCTTTGCGTAATAAAAGCGGCAAGAAAGAGGCATCAGCGAACTTTTTCCACCCCATATTGTCAACATTAGAGGGTGTGCGAATGTGCGGGCGGCGCCACCTTCCCTCCTTAATATATACGCCACACCGTTCGGCCCCTCGCTGCTCCTGCGTCACTTTTAACGCAATCCCGAGGGACACCAGGTTCGTGTGTCTCTCTCTGACGTGTCGTAAATTCTCTAATAATGATATTTCCGGCTAGATTAATCAGTAAACTTGCATAATAATCATGAAAAAAATAAGACCATTCTATGCTGCTCAAAGACTTTCATAATTTTCAAATTATCTAATCTGAAGTAAAAAAAAAAAAAAAATAACAATGTAAAATTCGATTCATATTTACCGCCGGTGACTTTATATGTTTTATGGAAAACTGTCTAGAAGAATTTGCCTAATATATAAAAATTGTATGCTTCAAAACTTTTGTAGCACAATTTAAGTTTCTGCTAAATTGTATTGTTAATTATTTTAAGCATCCAGCTTTCCACTTACACTCAACCTAAATATTTTAATCCAACTGAATTTACAGTTTTAACGCTATTTGTAAGTGAACTCTTAGAGTAGATAAGTTGTTATAAAGAAATATTGACTATTTTGAGAAAAACCTCAATGAGAGCTGAATATGAACTAATATAATAACAAAAATACTTTATTTTAGTTCTAATAAATAATTGAGAGTAAATGTAATAGCTCTACTTACAATTACAAACAAATTTTGAAGCTTGATATTACTTTAATCTGCAGCAGCCTAAAAACGAGCCAATCGCCAGTTTACTAATCAAATCGAACGAGCCAAACTTTTGCGGTGCACATATAATTTTATTAAAAGGGCTTACAAATGAATTGTTTAAAATGGCGGCGTGTCATAATTGGACACCTGTAAATGGGCCGGCAGCTGCAACCGATATCGGAGCAGGGAAACAATTTTCCATTATGAATATTAAGCAGTTTCGCGGCGGCGACCGCCGCCGCCGCTTCTTCTTCTTCCAGGAGCTGCAAAGCCACACAAAGACCCGCAATATTCTGTTACCAGTCGCTGAGTGGTTCCAAATCTGTCTGCTGCGAAACGATCGAACCTTTGGTACGCAGATTGCAGCTCTTGGCTAAAAATAGATTTTCATTGCCTTTGGAAATTCACCGATACATATATTGAGGAAATAAAGTTTCAGATATCTATTGTCGCAAATATCATCTTTTTTAATCGTTATAATTCATAATGGCTCAGAATTTTACAATAAAATCTTCATTTTTAAACATTTTTTTTTTTCAAGTAAATTCAATAAATTTAAAATGTGATTGTGCAGGAGAAGCACAAAATTTCTGAGCAGCTTGTTTTTTATATTTATATCTTGTAAATTATTTTTAAACCAATGTAGAACCATTTGCAGAGTTTTCGAATTCAATTCTAATATCCAGCATGACTAGATAGAATAATCTTATGCCTGCTGTGCTGCGTATTTCTATTTTGCCAACGCAGCAGCTTCGCGTTCAAATATTGATCTATGAAAGTACAGCGCCTGTTGTTAAAGACTTTGAAGTGCTTTTTCAGCAGATATTAAATATGCAGTCGACATTCAAGTAATTAATCTTGCAATTATTTCCTGCTACCTCTTGCAAACGAGGCTCTGTTAAGAGGCATATAAAAATACTCATTGAAAAGATGACTATTGTTTTTTTTCTTCACATTTTATATAAAATAAAAATCTGAAATACTCAACAAAAGGAAATCCAGGGGACTTTGGCTGATCAAAAAAAGTTGGCCGAGCAATAAGCAGCGAAATCAATTTCAGTTATACCGACAAAACAAGGCGGAAGAGGCAGCAACACAAAAGTTTGGCAATTTTCATCGGGCAAATTTGCTGAGAACAAGTTACGCAGGCTCTCGACGGCTGCTGTGAGGGCATCAAGGGTCATTACACGCGTGTTAGCTCTTCTAAGGCGTGATCGCGTCATTATTGGCTGCGTGTACACGGCAAAAAGTAAAGTTGCTGAATGCTGCATGCGGCACCCTTCGAGTATGGAAAAATGTTTTCACATAAAAATGGTTATTACAGCGAACATGGCTGAGAAAAGATGGAAAATCCACCCATGCATTATTCAATATGCAGTAAATTGGACCTCGGCACAGAGAGCGAGCGAAAGAGGAGGCTGGCGAGAGGACCCTGCTGCATACCACGCCACGACCGCGCACGTACCAAGAATGGAGTGCCGGCGTTTTTTCACGTTTGTTTCCCTTCCTTTCAAAATTATTATTGCACCCGACTTATTCCAATCCAATTTATTTGCAAATTATTTCGCTCTGGATAAAACAATAACTCACGCGCAGGGGGCGGAGAAAAGAGCGCCGCCTGTTTTTTCCAGACCAGGCGCTGCTTCGTCTTTTATTTATATATATTTTTTTTCCTACCCGTCCGTGCAGTGCAGTGCGAAGGCATATGATAAATTACCAAGCCAATCCAACGAGAATTAGGGAGATTTATTTATTCTCCTCTTCCGGCCCGTGTTATGGAGAATATATTTTCTTCTTCCGCGTGCGTTTCGCTCGCACTCCTCTAAACGTTATCGCCGTACACAACGCCATGAATTGGAAATCAAAACGTATGCATAAATAAATTTTATAGCGCGCTGAGACTTCTTCTTCTTCTTCCGCCTCCCCTGATATTTACATCGTAAATATTCTCGCTAATATAATAAAACTCGCATGAACGTCGGAAAAATCTCCTTGTTTATATCACCGGGCGCGGCAGACGGCACAACATATTGCTTGCTATCTGATGGTGTAGCCCTGCATATGTATGAGCGGCAATTTTGTCTCAAACTTGATTTATCGCTACAACTTCTACACAACCATTACTCAAACAATTTTTCACCTCGGAGAAACCCGCGTGGTGTGTGTATGTTTGTCCGTACATGTGCGCGCTCACGAGTCCGGGTCGCTTATCTGGCGCAGCGAAACTTATGGCCCCTCTTTATCATTTGCATACTCAACATGGTCGACCCGACAACAATTACATTATTACTCCACACCGAGTGCCGCCGCCGCCGCGGCGATAAAATAAAAAGTTCGCAACTACGATCCAATGGAGAATAACAATTATAATGCCGGTCTGTTTTTCCAAATGCTCTCTCCGTGTGGATTAAGCCCGGGGAGATTATTGAGAAACACACGCGCGCCGCCGGCTGCAGAGCAAGCGGGCGCATGTGGGTTTGCTCCGAAATGATTTGTAGCGAGTTTATCTTGTTTGAGCAGCACAATAACCCACTGCTGTGTGCACCCACCGGAGCTGCTAGCGGAAAAAAAGCACGCAGCAAATTATATGTGTGCTGGTGAAAAATTGGCTGCCGAACCCTGCCGCTAATTTTCACGGTTTAAAAACGATTGTCCGCTGCTTTCACCGACGGAAAAAAAATTATCTCCAGGTTTGCATGCGGGAAATTAATTCGTGTGATCGGTCATAAATTTCAATTCTCTGTGAAGCTGGATTTCAATTTGAAGTATATGATGGATTTTATTTAGACGATTTGCACATGAAAAATCAGCAACACTCAAAATGATGAATGTATGTGAAGAGGTCCAATCAAAGAGAATAAATAAACTGAGGATTACGCAATAATTTTATCACATTTTTGTGTTTCAAACAGATCTAAAAAAAGAATCATGACAATTTTTGTCATATTTTTAGTGCCTAACACTGACTGTGAAGTTCATTTTTTGTTAAATTCAATTTGTGTATTTTCCCGCATCAAGTCTGAATAGTAATTATGAACTCCAATAGGAGAGAAATAAACTTCTTCCCTATAATCACAGGCTCAATTTTAAGGAAAAATATTTTCTTTTATTTATTTTTAATTTTTTAGGATTGATTGAATAATAGGAATAATATGTAGCTTAATGGATTAAAAAAGGCGTTTCTGTTAACCTTGTGGCAAACCGCGAATTGCTCCCCAAACACGATGCAATATTTTTAATTGTACTGCGCTTGCGGATAGCTGCTCTAGCGAGTGTTAATCTATGCGTGCCATCGTATTCAGAATTAAAAGTTTCCCATCAATTTTTCATAATAATTTCAGATCAAATTTTAGAAATTTGTACTTCTTTTGCTCATATTGTTCTCACATGATTAGTGAAATCAGAAAAATAATTTTGATATTATGTTACTTTTCACATTTTCAGCAACTGAAAGTTTCCAATTTTCAGTTTTTGGGGTGTAATTATTTATTTTAACGAGCTGCTGGATGGAGGTTTGGTTGGAACGAGGAATATGTGAGGAACCGGCGGCAAAAAGTGGAGCGCTCAAAATTGAGGTTTACCTTGTTCTGCGGGCAAAAAGCTGCACGTAATTATAGGCCGGTAGCAAAACGCGCGCGTGTCACAACAGGGCAACATCCTACGCTTGCGAGAGCACAAAAAGGGGAAAAACTTAACTTTTCCCAGCTCTCTTTTGAATTCCGAACGAGGCGAGGCGGAAGACATTTCAAACAAGGCGAATTTTCCCAGGAAAAAGTGCCTTCGAGTGTAAGCAGAGTGTATGTGGTGTGTGCTTCTCGTTTATTTACACAGATTAAAAGGCTCGTGAGAGAGAGTCAAAGTTATGCAACGCGCTAAGCACTCATGTCAAACAGGCTGCAGCAATCGAATGTACACGCCGGTGTGTGTGCGTCGGCCTATTGAAGTCATGTCGAGTGCTACTAGTAGCTGCTCCTGCCGCTGCTGCTGCCACTTTTCACGGAATTTATTTCGAATAAACCACTTAGTGAGGAAAAATACATAACGTACCTCCACCAGAATAACTAATGTATACGTGGGCCAAAGAGCGCTTTTTACGCCCTCTTTAACAACTCATTGTGCGCGCGATCAAAAACTTTCCGAGAGCGTTTTTATTAATGATTAGGCGCAAGTGTCCAACTGGCTCAC